TTCCACCTTATGGTAGAGCTTATTTTTAGCTCTAGCAAAATATATGCTAAAGCATGTGCTAAATCACCCTCACGTCACTTCCTTCGGGGGTGTGGCTGGGGGTGGGGGGGCTAGAGCGAACGTATGTTGTGTTCGCTTCCACCTTAGAAATGTAGGGCATGTGCTCATTCACCCTCACGTCGCTTCCTTCGGTGGGGTGCGGGGGGAACACATAACGTATGTTGTGTTCACTTCCATATTAGAAATGTAGAGCTTTGAAGCTACATACGTGTAGCTTTTGTACAGTTTTTCATGTAGGCCCATTTTGCTGGAGTCCGCGTGATCATTGAGGGAAGAGAAATCAAGTCACCGCCGTCCCCAACTGGCAGAAAGTCATTCCTGTCCTTATGGACACAACAAGCCTTTCATAGGCATGTTCACAGGTTCTGGTCAGTTGGTCACCTACAAAACCTACACTTAATATTTGGATCCTTTTCTATCTTCTTGAAGGCAGTTTGCTTATTCATTTACATTATCTTAATTCACTCCAATGTTTAAAAATTAATTATATGTTTTTTATTGAATTCTGATTTGACTGTGCTTTGCTAAGTGTATGTACTATGTTGTTAAGTACAGTCTCTGCTTTGCTGTGCATTTCAGCATTTTTATATCAATTTGAATTTATTGTCCTTGATAGTTATTAATGCAACTATACTGTTCCAAACTGCAAGCTTCTTCTAAGTCTTAGTGTCTGACATGCTGAGTCACCTTAGCTTAGTTTAAATTACACCATTCGGGGTCTGTAGGTTGTTTTCTGTGTCCACTTATCCTACATTGTCCCTTTCAATTTTCTCATTAAATGCCAGGGGTTTAAGAGAAAATATTAAATGAAAAGCTTTATTTTTATTTGCCAAACAACAAAACTCTGATTTTTATTTTTTTTTCCAAGAGTCACATAGTGTAGCAAATGATGCATCCTTTTGGAAAACTCAATGGGGAAATGAGTTATGGTTTTCTCATGGCTCAGAAAGATCAGCAGGGGTTACTATTTAAAAAAAAACAACTTTAATGGTTCTGTTGTACACTCAGAAAGTGATCCAAATGGCCACTAAATAATTTTAATCCTGAATGTCAACAACTATATTGCCCTTCTTGCCAATGTATATGGATATAATTCAAAACCTGAAAATAATTTTTTACTTGATGGATTAGAATCTAGCTTTATACACTGGTTATCAAAATACCCAAATGCCCTTCTTTTAATGGGTGGAGATTTCAACGTTGCTTTGAACAGCTCCCTAGATCGATGGCCTCCGAGTGTTAATAATACTTCTTCTATTAACTTGTCCTCTTTTATACAAAAATTTAATCTCATAGATATATGGAGGGAAAAAAAAACAGTTTCTAGAGATTACACATGGTCTAATAAGCCACGCTCGTTAATGTCTCGCATAGATTACTGGTTAGTTTCTGATTGCTTAGATAAGAATAACATTACTCCTAGAATATTAACAACACCTTTAACCGATCACAAAGCAATATCATTGATTGCCTCATTCTGTCCTAACATTACTCCCACATTCAAAAGTTCTTATTGGAAACTTAACAATTCCATCTTAAAAAATGTGCTAGTAATTGATAAAGTCAAATTATTAATAAACCATTTCTGGAAAAAAGCCTTAATTAATAACAATTTCTCTAGAAATTGGGAACTCCTTAAATTTGAAGTTACAAAATATTTCAGAGAGTTTGGTGCCTCTCTATCTAAATCCAGGAGAGATGAAGAAACAAATGTAATATCCAGAATAACTGAAATTACTCAAATCTTACCTGAAAATTTATCTGAAAATGACTTAAAGGATTTAGTCATTCAACAAAATAAATTAAATGAAATATACAGAAGGAAAGCAGAGGGAGCTTTTGAGATTGAGAAGGAAATGGCTGGTGGAAGGGGAACAAATCACTGCGTATTTCTTTCAATTAGAAAGAACCCGTGGTCGATTCAACTCAGTTCAAAAACTTAACATTAACAACTTTATCACTGATGATCCCCAAACAATAGCAAAGTATTGCTCTACTTTCTACAATGAGTTGTATGAATCACAATATAATAAATCTGAATCTGAAAACTTCTTTTCACATCTTACTGAAACTAAGTCAATTAATGATGACCAAAGGAATGTCTGTGATAGTCCCCTATCCACTGCTGAAGTCCTGTCTGCCATCAAGCACCTAAAACTCAACAAATCTCCAGGAGTTGATGAACTTCAGAGTTCTACATCACCTTTGCAGAACAACTGGCCCCGTTCCTCCACCGGCTGTTTGCAGAATGCATTGATAACCAAATTCTTCCTCCCACTCTGTGTCAAGGCCTTTTGACATTAATTCCCAAACCTAAAAAAGACCCCCTTCTGATTGATAATTGGCGTCCAATCTGCCTTCTTAATAATGACTATAAAATTCTAGCTCAAATTTTTGCGATGAGAATGAAAAGTGTTCTTAACTTTATAATTGATGAAACTCAAAATGGTTTCATGACACAAAGACATATAGCCAACAACATCAGGCTGGTGTTGGATCTGATTGACTATGCAGATTTGTGCCATGATGACAGCCTTATATTATTTTTAGATTTCCGTAAAGCCTTTGACACCATTGAGCATAATTTTGTTTTTCAAACATTAGAGAAATTTGGTTTTGGCCCTTACTTTTGTGCTGCAATCAAAACCATGTATAAAAATGCTAACTGTTCAATCAAGCTTCATGCTGGTACGTCTCCCAGATTTGATCTAAAGCGAGGTGTGAGGCAAGGTTGCCCGCTGTCCCCATACCTCTTTTTGATCTGCTCTCAATTACTTTCAGATTTCATTAAACTCAACCATTTGAAAGGTATCTCTTTTGCTGATAAAAATATTATAATTAGTCAACTAGCCGACGATACCACTTTATTTTTAAAGGATGCTTCTCAGGTTTCTTTAGCAATTAATATTGTTGAGAAATTTTCTAGAGCCTCTGGACTCTACCTTAACATTGATAAATGTGAACTTTTAGCCCTTAAAAATTGTAACAAACCCTCTATTTATAATATTCCTGTTAAAGAATCGGTCACCTATCTCGGCATAATGATCAACAAAGATCAAGATTCTAGAAATGCTCTGAACTTTAATCCTATTGTAGAAAATGTACAAAAGAAACTAAATTCTTGGCTTCAAAGAGATTTATCAATTCAAGGAAGAATTTTGCTAACCAAAGCAGAAGGCATCTCCCGTTTAACTTATCCAGCTTTGTCTCTTTCTGTAAATAAACAAACAATTGACATCATTGATAAAATGCTTTATAGATTTGTATGGAAAAATAGGATTCATTATATCAGGAAATCAGTCTTAATGAACTCATTTGAACTTGGTGGCCTCAATTGTCTTGATTTCTCAACCTTAAACAATACATTCAAAATAAACTGGATTAAACAGTTTCTCAAAAATCCAACCTCAATCTGGAATTTTATACCCAACTATTTATTCTCAAAACTTGGTGGCCTTAATTTTATTCTCCTTTGCAACTACAAAATTGAAAAACTACCCATAAAGCTATCTAATTTTCACAAACAAATGCTTCTTTCCTGGTCTCTAATTTACAAGCATAATTTCTCACCCCATCGATATTATATTTGGAACAATGGAGACATTTTGTACAAGCATAAATCTTTATTCTTGGAAAATTGGTTTGAACATGGAATCATCTTGGTTCAGCAGCTTTTTAGACCTGATGGTGTCTTAATGTCTTATTCTGAACTTCTAGAAAGGTTTGGTCTCCCCATACCACCAAAGGAATATGCGCTTGTTTTTGATGCCATCCCATCTGGTGTTATGATGCTTCTTAAATCTTCTGTAACTTCTGTTCTGGCTCCACCAGATCTAGACCCTGCTGTCACTAATGTTGGTCAAATCTGTTTTTCCACAAGAAAGCGAAAGAACAACCGTGATGTACGTGCCTTATTCCAGAAGGACATCGTCTCTGTTCCTAATGTTATCTCTTATTGGAATAACTTTGCCCCCAACCTGAACTGGAAAAAAATCTGGTGTCTTCCATCTAAATATTTAATTATTAATAAGATCAAAGAAGTGTCTTTTAAGATAATCCATCGTTTTTATCCCTGCAAGTTTTTCCTCCAGTGATACAAAAAAGAGACATTGACACAAATTGTTCATTCTGCCAACTCTATGAAGAAGATCTCTGTCACTTATTCTGGTCATGCTATTTCTCTTGTATTTTCTGGCAAAATATTTGTACATTTATTTCCCAAAGAATTCTTGAGGACTTTTCCCTCACTTATACAAATATGTTGTTTGAATTCTTCTCTTATCCCACTAATAAAACAAAACATTTTTATATTATCAATCTAATTTTATTACTTGCAAAATATCATATACATAAATCTAAATTCTCAAATCAGAAACCTCGCTTTTCAGCCTTTAAAGAGGAATTCAAACAATATATTACATCTCTCCAGTATTCAAAGAATAGGAAAGCCATTAAGACAGTGGATATGTGCTCTCACTTTAACATCCTTCTGAGTTAACTTTTTATTTATATTTTTGCTCTTCATTTTGTTTGTGCTTCCTATGTAACACCCTTGGATTATTGTCTTGTCTGTTTTGTTATTTATTGCATCTGCTACTTTGTAAACCACTTTATTGTCAATAAAAAAAAATTAAAAAAAATGTAGAGCTTTTGCTCCTTCGGGGGGAGGGGCGGGATGGGTTGTCTTCGCATCCACCTGAATAAATGTAGTTGCGACCCTTCCGTGATTTATTTATGTTTTACTGAAAATATGTTTTTTTTTTTGTTCATTACTTTGTAGTAAAACACAAAATTTTTATGTAATTACTATTATTTTCCTTTGTTAGCTATACTTCAAAAAGTTCTTTTTTTACTGTTTTACTGCGTTTCAATAAAAGTTTTCCAGTTGGAGTCAAAGTAATAGCATCCATTATTATTATAATTATATATATTATACATTTATAGATATAAATGTGGTAAATGTCATGACCAATGGTTAGATTATATGTACTAAGTTTCATTCAATGGTAATCAGTGATTTAATTTAAAGAAATTCCCAGGATTGATTTGGCACAGTTTGGAGACATTTTTGGATAAATGACCTCTCCACCTGGGACATTT